CATGACCAGAACCCATGCCCTCATAAGCTGTGCAAAATTATGTCAACGGGTTCTGGCTCGAGATGTCAAGATTTGGGATGCAAAATCATGTCAACTAAGTTCTTCCCTGAGATGTCACAATGTGATTGGGTTTCTGAGAATGCACGTCTTGGCTATGTGCCTCGCTGGTATATTGAGGTGCTGCTGAGCAGCAACAGTGGAGGGCTCACCAAAGGATGCGACAGTGATTGGCGGTAGCTTGGTCAATGATGGGCCCAAGTGAGAGACTAAGTGTAATACATGGTAATTGGCAGAAAGAGTGCAGTGTTTGGTGAAGGGATGGATTTGATGCTTTGTTTTGTATTAAGCAGAAAACAAAATGGGTTGGTCCTTGGGGTAAAAATTGGAACAATACGGAGAAAATTAGCATGGCGCAGCATGGCCCCTGCGCTCAAGGATGACAAACAGGGTGTCCAGGTAACCGACACATTTTTGCAAAAAGAGCGCATGTGCGCGTGGGCGCAAGAGAGAGAGAGAGAGAGAGAGAGAGAGAGAGATTGTAATCATCTATGGATTCGGGAGCAAGGTTGCTCACCTTATTGCTGCACGCCAGAGTGGTTTAACTTCGATTTTGGTGATGTTAAACAGTGACCAAAGGGGTTTAAAAGGGTATATACTACATTTCGACTCATGTTTTCTCGTTTATTTTTGTCATGAAGTTAACTAGGAATTTTGAGGTGATATCATGCGCTGGCCCCGCCCGGACCTGGACCCTGCCCGCCCTGGGCCGCCCGGGAGTCTCCCGGGGACCAGCACAGGAAACCTTACTAAGTTACTATAGAATCAAGATCTGAACTGGTGAATAGGGTTGCCTTTTTATCCCCTCCCACCTTACGCAGTCCGACTGATGAAAGACATCCCCTTGTCAGAAGCTCGTTTCCCTATGAGTTTCTCTTATCAAGGACGTCTGAGTTATCCAGTGGGCTTCACAGAAACAAAATATGAATGGCATTAAAAAAAAAAAAGAATGGCGACTAGACTGACCTGTTTATCTCCTACCACTGTATTAAGCCCTCCCCTGTCTGAACATACTCTCCTTAGACCAGCATCACTGCCTCCGAGCCTCTTTTTGCCGAGGCGGAATACAACTGTGCGCCAAGCTTTGCCGAAGTGCACTTGCGACCTTTTTTTTGGTTTTGGCTCGCACCACCAGCCATTTTGGTCCACTGACGCCCGGCCTCTGAAGAATGCACTATATGGTGGTTTAACGAGTTTTTCAATCAAGGGTATACGAGATGCTGCACAAGATCGATTTTCAATTTTCACGGAATGGTGAAATCTTTAGGGAGTCAACATCTTGAACTGTGAACAGTGTCATCTTTTTTACTTCTTGATAGAATCAGAATGTATTTCAGTGAAAAAAAAAGGAGGATGTATTTCAGTGAAAACCTGTATATCAAGAATCGTTGTTCTTTTCTGTGTTTCTCAGTCTTAAATTCTCTTAACGGCAGTCCTTCGGGACATCCGTTAAAATTGGAACTATACCGAGAAGATGACCATGGCCCCTGCACAAGGATGACACACATAAATCGAGAAGTGGTCCAAAATGTTCTTAACAAAAAAAAAAAACACACACACTATTAACAGCATCTTTTTTTAACTCCAGACATTTGATTTCAAAATGTTTGTGTGTTTTACGGAACTTTTACCTATTTATGGTCGTGAAGTGGTCCCAAATTTGGGGTGGGGGGGGGAAAGCACTCTTAACAGCAGCTTTTTTAATTCCTCCACATTGCAATCAGACTCGCTCTCATTCACACTTTACATGCATGCAAACAGGTGTGCAGCAAATTGGCGACAAGCGCCTGCTCGAAACTCTGAGATATGGTAGCCAGGAACGCAGTTCAGGTATAAGTTCACTTCAATGGCTATGGCGACACAGCGTGCACACAACTCTCTGTTCGCACACACAGGATCACCCTGGATATCCCACACGCGATACTCTGTACACATACACACACGCTACACTCTACCTACAGTTATGGCGGCTATGGCCACTGCTAACCTATCGCTATGGCTAAGCTCCTTCTTGCCCACTTTGTCTTTGGGCTCACTGCAGACCACCTCACACAAGTGGCTGTGGCAGCGCTTCCGCATGGCTCACGCAGGAATGAATGAATGGCTGGACGCTGCCCTTTGATTTATACTTCTGTAACTCGTTGGTCTGGCCCTTTCCCATGCCCGTGGTGCACACAGTCCCATACGGTACTGGCTTGACTGGACTAGGACTGACTGGGACTGCAGACTCAGCACGGGTAGACTCCACCACTTGCCCACTTGCCTCAACCTAAACGTGAGCAACTTCGAAAGGCCACTGCTAGGACCTTCCGGAAGGCCGTGGACTTGGCCTTTCACTACTGTAGCAGCTACGACCTTGACCTTTCAGGACTGTAGCGGCTACGACTTTGACTCTTCGGAAGCTCTACTGCTACGACTTCTAGAACTGCCTAAGACTTCTACTCGACAGGTCTACAGATCGAACCCCTCCTACCTACGAACCGTACGACAGTCTACCAACTGTTACAAATACACAGGTCACGGGTTCAACTCTCAGGGTCGACACAAATACTGTACACAGGTAAGGTGATGACTAAGGATTGAGCCCTGGGGTCTGCATCGGCTACTGCAAACAGGTGAATACCGTTTCAACATTTGGTTTCAATTTTTTTTGTGTTTTACCTATATTGTGTGATAGAACTATTTATAATTTCTCAAGACAAAACACCACCTCATGTATCCTGATTGACATGAGATGTTCTCTGTGTGAGGCTCAGGGCCTCGATCTGCCCTACTGGGCCCTATTCTCTGCATGGTCGGCCGCCTTAAGTGAAGGCAGGCTCAACCCAGGGCCTACAGGCCTGTTTTGGGGTCGCCACGCAACTGGGTAAATTCAGGCAGTTGCGCAGCGTCAGTTGGTTGAGAACTCGAGAGCGCCCAGGCCCAGGCTGCCCCTTTTGAATGTAACCGAGGCAGGCCCTGGGTCAGATTCGCAAAATGCACCGAACATAGGCCGCAGGCAGTTGTACACGGGCAACCACCACAGGCCCAGGGCCGGATTCTTTTGGTCTGGGGCTCAGCCTCTCTGGGCCTACCGGAAGCTTCTGGGCAGGGGCCCAGCGCAGCCAAGTTGCACGCAAGGCAGGCAAGCCACTTCCATTTAGGAAAGGGCCTGCTCACGCATTCGGCATTCGGGCACTGGCTGCATGCTGCGCAAGCGCTGCTGCACTAACGCTGGCCAACGCTCACACGCTCATGTGCGAGCTGGAAGGAGCAGGCAGCCATAGCCGAGCTGCGCTGCTGTATGCTGGATGGGGCGCATGGTGGTCCTTGGGTGCATGTGGCATCTGTGAGTTGGGGAACGAGGTTGTGAGTGATACGAGAGACATTCCTGGTGCTTGAAGCGTACGGCATTGGCCGAGATCTGCTCGTACTTCGGGGAGCTGTTGACGTCAGCGGCGGCATTGTAGATTAGGCTAGATAGGATCTGCCATCTGTTGTCTGGGTACCGAGCGCCAGATAGGATATCGACATTGGTTCTTCGTTGATGATGATGAGACTATTCCAGCGCTGTCAATTATGACCTTTTGCTGTGCTCTTATTTGGTGAAACTCGTGATGCAATTCTGCTATTGGTTTGAGGTCACGACTATCTGGTCTCATGTGTATGATGCTGTTTGATTTCTGAAGTTCGCTAATGCTCATTTTCCTTGCATCTGTTTGAAGCTGGTATTTTGCTTTATTTTTTTGAACTTTTTTATAAGGATGTCTAAGAAACCGTGCGGGATTACGTTTTTATTTGAGATGGGCATGTCCAAAGAGTTTGCTGATCATAGTGTTGAGATACGCAAGCGAATTCCATAGATGCACGAATAACATAGAAAAGCTCGTGCATGCTCAGGTACAATGTACGAATAGTATCAATCCCTACACTTATGAGAAATCAGACATCTGGGCCCTCTGCGCACTACCGGGCTGATGGCCTGGATCGTCGGATGATCTTAAGATTTTAAGATCGCGTGAAGATCTGGCCCGTCTGCGGTCCTACCGGGCCGACAGCCCGGATTGTTGCAAGATCTTAAGATTTTAAGATCGCGCGAATATCAGGGCCGTCCGCCGGGCACTGGCTAATGGCCCAGATTAGAACTTGGTTTGGTGGGCACTTTAGTAGACTGGACGGGTGAACGGGCAACCGTTGCAGTGGAACTTTTGACCCAATATTTAGAAGTTACTTTTTTATTTCCTTGGGCAGTTTCTTTCAATAAAATAGGATTGTTTGGATTTTGGTCTATGAACCGCTGATACGTATGGCACTCACTCTTTCTTTTCTTTTCTTTTCTTCGAGCCTGAATCGGACTAAGATAGAGTGCTTTTAAATCTGTCAAAGGTTTAAAGACGTGAGTTGGGTTGTCTAGGCTCAAATAAAATTTCACTATATGCGGGAACGTGCTCTGGCCTTCAGGGCTCGAAGAGCGGGAACCAGGCGATCCTAAGTGCAACGAAGTTGCCTCTACCAAGAAAATTCGGGAACGCCTTAAGCTTTTTTGTCCGTGTGCCGGCACGAAGTGTGGCGTCAGAGTTTCCATAGTACATGAAAATGGAAGGGAAACAGTCTGTAGTCTTGCCAAACTGACGGAGAGCCGTGTGCTTGGAAATCTTGCACGCACGGTTCGGAGGGAAGCTTAGTCAGATAACACACACTGCGTTTTTACAAATTCAAATAATCAATTACCATTGTTTTATAAAGTTTCTGGAACTTGGTCGAATCATGAAGGTAGTCTCTTATTATGGTGTTGGATCCTGAGTCTTTATGGTTTTGTTGGCCCTGTTTGTCTATCATAAAGCGAATTTTAGAGTCAGCCTTGATGGCCTCCAAACGTTCGATTTCATGGTCGCATCTGCAAACGAGAATTTGGAACCCAGATACTTTGCTCCCCTTCATTGTGGTTGACCGAGGGTCCACAGGAGACTACTATGGGAGCTCCGAAACCAATCCCGAAGCGAAGATTGATTTTCCCGCAGTTCTTTTCATGTTTGCCTGGAAGGAGTTTACTATGGTCAATGTAGTGAACTTTGTGGTACCAATCATGCCTTTATGCCTATTGTAGTGGACGCTGTCTCTTTCAATGATTATGTTTCTCTGGGTGTCTAATAAATTAGACTAAAAAACAATGGCGAAAACAATGCGCGCTCTTGCGCCTCATGTCACCCCTGCATAGCTTTTTGGACTATTTTGAAGATAAAGCGGCCTCTTACAATGTCGGTCGCTTTATCCGGCGCGAAGCGCCCTTGTTGAAGAAGAGTTGCTAAGTGAGTAAACCATTCTTTTGTAAGTCCATCAAGAGCGCTTCCTGCCTTTCCAGGAGTCATGTTACCACGCAGACCAAAACAGGTTCCAGGTCTCTCCTCTATTCTGTAGTGCTGAACGAGGGACGACCTTTGTCACCGGTAAACAAACTGCGGCGCTGTTCGACCCTTTGGCGGCACAGCAGCAACACACCGCACAGACACCACACGGACACACACACTCACGCATGCATGCAAACGCAAGCACATGCACGGACACACACACACACACATGCACACACACATGCATGCATGCACATGCATCCACTTCAAGGTTCAACCTCCTGATGAGTCAGTGGAAGTCCGGCGAAATAGTCTAGCACAGTCATGCTTTTCTTTGTGGAGTTGTGTATAGCGAACGTGACAACAAGCATGCACGAATTCTCACACGCACGCACATGCCCGCCCACACACGCGCACGCAGTAGTGTCCATGTGTGTGTGGTGTGAAAGTGTGTGGCGAAACAGTCTAGCACAGTCATGCTTTCGTTGTGGAGTTGTCTATAGCGAACGTGGCAACGAGCATCCACGAATACATACGCACACTCACACACACGTACACGCCTGCCCACAGACGCGCACGTAATAGTGTCCATGTGTGTGTGTGTGTGTGTGTGTGTGTGTGTGTGCGTGAGAGAGAGAGAGAGAGAGAGAGAGAGAGAGAGAGAGAGAGAGAGAGAGCATCGGTTAGTTACGTCCACCACAAATGCATCACATGTCATAAATGTTTTTGTGAAGGAAGCCGCAACAGGTCATCTAGTTGTACAATGATTGCTTCAAGCCTCAACAGGGGCTAGAACTCGAAAGGCCGTCCCAGGATCCACGCTGAAAAAAAAATCCTTCGCTGGGTGCCTGATCCAGACATTGCGGATCAGATGACGGAGCCAAGACATCTGAAGATCTGGTCGGTCCAAATCCGGATCTGGTCCATGAGGCCGGTTACCATGATTCACAGTAGAACTGCCTACTCTTGCATGTGTGGGAGTAAAAACAATAAAAGTTGTCCTGTTACTGATAAAAGTTCATAAAACCCATAAATAAATTGAATACTAAATTTTGAAATACTAAGTATAGAACGAACATGAACTTGTTGAGGGGGTGTGGTCTTTTCACCTGTCATCGACATTCTGTTTTCTTCACATTTTTTGCCAGGCATTAATTTAAGAAATTCCGAGCAACTTGCGGAGAAAGAAGATGGGTGATTCACCCAACACGTGAATACATGCAAGCTGGATTCAACAACTTTGTGGGGCAGGAGTCAAGGACTGGTGGGGACCTGCTGAGAAGAGGAGGCTGTGTGGCATGCCCTCGCCACATTTTCATTGCTTCTGCATCTACGGCGTTGGTGCGATTCTCAAACAGCCAATACTGGTTCTCAGTTCTGATGGTTTCTTTATATTCACGACTAAAGTACTCTTGTACCCCTGTGTGTGTGTGTGTGTGTGTGTGTGTGTGTGTGTGTGTGTGTGTGTGTGTGTTATAAGCCTGCTCGATTATTGATGCAAAACTCAACTTTTAGTAATTTCAATCGTCCTACAGATTCTTGTTGGTTTAGTGAGGGTGACCGTGCAAATCACTGAATGAATTGCCACTTTGGCAAACAAGAGTGCATATGCCAGGGCTCGAAGAGCTGGAACCAGGCCCCACAATAGCACCTGAAGTGTAATCTGCGATCTCGTCCAATTTGACAGTTGGAATCCCGAAAGCCGTTCACCGCAAATCAAGCATTGGAATAAAACAAAGAAATAGAAGAGAATAAGAAGTGTTACAATCCTGATCATTTCTGAAGTCCAAATTCACAAGGAAAGACGATGCACCCAATTGTGAAAGAAATGAAAGCACTTGCAAAGAGTTAGAGATCAAAGAAGAAGAGAGAAAGAAGAAGAAGAAGAAGAAGAAGAAGAAGAAGAAGAAGAGGAAGAAGTACACCAGCAAGACGAATGACAAATCCCCCTTCTCTCTTCACCTTCCTCCTCCTCCTGGTCTTCGCCAACCTTATTCTTCTTCCAAATAATAATAATAACAATGACTGGTTAAACCAGAATCAATATCTGAAGTTTCCTCTTACTGCCAGCACAACGATAGGTCCACCATAGCAATGGCTTCCCCCTTCATCTTCAATCTCACATGCCCAGGCTATGGCGGACTACCAAGGGCTCTGCCCTCTTGTGCAAAAGATAACTCAAAGAAGCTATGGTCGCTGCTCTTCAGGCTGCTATGCCTGACTCTGCCTCGAAGCTTCCCTGGTGCCTTCCAGATGCAGCACCTAACAAGGTGATAAAGATGGTGTCCACCATAGTCAGGTAGGTACCTCGCCAATCTCCTCCTCTGCCCCCTTCTTCGTCCTCTTAGGCTGGGCTGCTCGCCATTGCCAGGCTGAGCGCCCTGCTTCTCGTCGTCCTCCGAGGCAGCGCTCTTGAGTCCAGCACTCGTTCAAGCAGTATGTCACTCGACCTTGCACACTGCAAATGAGGAGGAGCTATTTGCTCCTCCTAGAGATATAGTGGCCTGCTTGCCTCTTGGGCAGAGTTACATGCTGCGCCTGCAACAGGCTGCACGGGCCATTTTCAGCCCGAAAGCCTGAAAACAAGGGCCTACAGGCCCTGTGTCGTTTCAGCCTGAAAGCCTGAAAACAAGGGCCTACAGGCCCTGTGTCGTTTCAGCCTGAAAGCCTGAAAACAAGGGCCTACAGGCCCTGTGTCGTTTCAGCCTAAAACAGGGCCTTTCCGGCCCTGAGTTTTTTCAGCCTGAAACGGAGGGCCATTTTCAGGCCCTCATAAGATCCACCTGCCCTGAAACTCAGACACCAGACCAGGGTTTTAGCTCAGGCCATTTTTGGCCTATTTTCAAGACAACCTTTATTTGAGCTTCAACCCCAGGGTCTGGCACGTTTTGGCATTGGCAAGAGCAGCCTACTGGACGGGCCAGCACTATATAAGACTGGCCCGCCCTGCAGGCTGCAGGTAGTTCCTACGTTCTTCCCAGGCACTTCACGTGCAGTTCAGGAGGCAGGAGGTAGTCTTCAGGATTTGGCAGCAGCACTCTGGAGGAGCCCTGCACTTGTAGTAGTAGCGTTAGCAGTAGTCCTCAGCGCTGGGCGCTAGTAGGAGCTAGAGTAGTACTGGAGAGAGAGAGAGAGATTGGGCGGAGGCCAGGGAGACTTACCTGCAGCGCCATAGCTCCAGCTTCGTCTTCAAGGTACCTGCAGCACAGCGCCATCTTCACAGGTTAGTACCTGGCACATGAGAGAGAGAGAGAGTTCTTCTTCCTCTTCTCATTCCACCATCTCCCTCTCACCCTCTCGCTACCTGACTTCACTGCATCTGCAGACTACGAGAGAGCGGGATTGGTGACATTTGGCTCAGACTCGACATTGGGCTTGAAACATTGACGAGGGATTATCTGGGACTTGTACCGAAGACTTGGTGTTGACAACATTCCCATCTTCCCCCTCTTCTTCATCTGACCCCCTCCTCTTCGTCTGTGTATGGTCTGGTCCTGGCGCATTCTTCCTCTGTGTAGCGCCAAGCCCCTTCACACCTTGTGATGAGGATGATGTATGTTTGGTCTGCGTTGCGACATCGATTGGGCTAGTCATTGATATTCTAGCAATCTGCTGCGCTGTCTTGCACTACGTGATAGAGGTCAGTCCCGGTCAGGTCAGGACTTGTATATAAGTCTTCCACTGCGCTATAAAGCACCATTTTTGTATGTATCAGGATGTACACTGCTTGTTGAGATTTCAATGCACTGCATTGTCCATTCAGTCCTTTTCATCACATTGCGGATCCTCGGTTATTTATGTACATCGCCCAACTGGGCATGTAACAGGCAGTGACTTCCAGGCCATGCGGCCTCCAATCAACCAGAACCTCCTCCCTTTTGGAGGGAAACATCATTGCAGGCTCTGATATCGTTCGTGCAGGCCCTAGACGCAGGCTACTTGGACTGGTACCGGCCTACCTCTAGCCTACCGCTCCTGGGCCTCTAAAAATGCCTACTTTTTGTCTTCTTCTGCTCGGCCTCAAGTACCCGAGTGGTACCGGCCTACCTGCTACTTGAGTGTTTTTCCCGCTGCTCTAAGTGTTGCGGGCCGACCCCCGCTACTGGAGTGTATTTCCTACAGCAACCCTCAAAGTCGTGGCCACACGGAAGTGCCAGCCCTGCAGGGCCTCCAAACGAACAAGGGTCACATACACACTCAGGCCGACAAGCACTCAGACAGGCAGGCAGACCAGCAGGCACGCACACACTCAGACTTCGAAAACTCAGCAGAATGCGGGAATCTCAGCAAGGCATACATTCCAGTGGCCAATCCCAGAAAACAGCGGTGTTCTCAGTCTGTGTTTTGGCGGGTCATTACACTACTCCCCTCTCAATAGCAAGGTCCCTTCGAGCGAGTAACTCATTCAGAGTCCCTACAAAATGTGTCACAAGAGTAGATCAGAAAGAGAGCTTCGGTATGACCATAAGGAGTAAATGTTGCACAAAACTTAGCAGTCTGTCCATCGACGATCTGTCATTCATAAGCTTTAACAACACAAGGATCATTCTTTAGCATCTCTTTTTGGTCGATCCAATAGAATTCATTTAACAGGTGATAAAGGAAGTGAACTGTGTACTGTTTGTTCCTCCCTATTCCTTCATGGGAAGCAATTCTGTCTACTTCGTGACAACCATTGATAGCACGAGGAATCATAGGATCTCGGAAGGGAAAAGTCCCGTTATCAATGTCGGGAAACAGTTTGGACGAGTGGAAGACCGGATACGTACGCAAATCATCCTCGCCTACGACCTTCAGAACCTGCTAAGGACCATAGTACAGTGGAAGAAGCTTTCGTGATACTCCGTCTTCTTCAGAAAAATTCAGACATCTCGACCCAGACATACCTTCCTACTTCGAATTTCCCTTCTTTGTACGACTTCTAAGCATGTTTGATCATGGCGTGCTGGCGCTTGTTCATCGCTGCAACAACAGCTTTGAGCAAGCATGCGTACTTGGCATTGTAAGTAGGCATGTCGGGTGTCAGACCAGGGGACCGGTCAGGGAACAAATAAAATAGAGGATTGCGTATTTGCCAACCGTAGTGCAGTTGATTAGGCGTCACGCCAGTCGCAGAGTGAATGGAGTTGTTGTACAACCCCTTCACTTCATATATCTCCTTGTGCCACGTGTTCTGATCGGGAACGATTAGAGCGCGAAGAAGTTGAATGACAATCTGGTTGATTTCCTCGGCCAACCCATTGGCTTCGGGGTGTCGACCAGATGTCTTCTTCAGTTTAATGTCGTAGATCTGAGAGGTGAAGTCTTGCCAATCTGCGCTAATGAATCTGATATCCCGATCACTCACAAGAGTTTTCGGGGAGGGGAATTCAACAGAATCTATTGCTGGTGGAATTCTTCGATCACAAAACTTAGTTGGTGCATGAGGCTGTAAAAGATTCAAATTCAGAAATTTAGAAAAACGATCCATGATAGCCATGACTTGTGAATGTCCTCCTTACCTTTCCCATGTCCATGAAATCGATGGAAATCGACTCACCGGGCCCATCGGGACAGGGGAGGGATTTCAGCAGGCCATAAGGCTTTTGCATATGGACCTTGGTTTTTTGACAAACTTGGCATTCAACAATAAATCTCTTAGCAGATCCCTTCTTTCCTTGCCATTCAAACTGCTGCAAAATACTTCAATAAGTGTTTTCAAATCCGAAATGCCCACTCCGACCATGTGCCAAATCCAAGAAATGTGTTCGGAGAGGCTCATCATTGGATACACACAATCGATCAAACTTCCCGTAGCGTCGGAATACAAGACCCTCACATTTGTGAAATCAGGCTGACTACTAGGGTCGACCTTGATCTGCTCATGGGACTGATGTCCAGATCCTTGGCAGTGTGCTCGACCAGATCTTCCTTTATCCCTTCTTTCCTGGCCAATGAAACTGCTCCAAAATACTCCAATAAGTCTTTTCAAATCCGAAATGCGCACTCCGACCATGTGCCAAATCCAAGAAATGCGTTCGGAGAGGCTCATCATTGGATACACACAATCGATCAAACTTCCCATAGCGTCGGAACGCAAGACCCTCACATTCGTGAAATCAGGCTGACTACTAGGGTCAACCTTGATCTGCTCAAGGATGGGACTGAGGTCCGGATCCTTGGCAGTGTGCTTGACCAGATCTTCTTCGCACGGTTCGGAGAGCACTTGTTACGACCGTCTAGGCTCGACTCTTTCTTCGAGCCTAGCGGTGGAACTCTTGACTCTATTCGTGTTTTAATGAAATTATGTACCCGTAAAAAATGGCCGGGAAATCCTGGCCTTACGGGTACCACCCTTGAGT